GTTTCAAAAAAAAGAAATTGGTACTGTTACTCTTTTAATGAAAACAAAAGTTTTAAAAAATAACTTTACATGAAAAAAAATAAAAGGAATCATCCTTGTTACACTCTTTTATTTAAAAAAGAATCAAATTTTGGTAAAGGACCAAACATACATGAACACAACATACACACACATCAGCAATGTAAGAGTTCAAATTTCAAAAAAAAAAAAAAAACAATAGTCCATGTTACTCATTATTGAAAAAAAAAGTTCAAAAAAATTTATAACCTTTTTATTTTGGACCAAAATACCCTTATGCTCCAAAACATCCCAAAATCACTTCAATCTTATTCGAATTTTAAAAAAAAAAAATTCTCAAAGCATTTCCATAGTAATACAAACCTGCTTTTAAAAAAATAAGTTTCAAAAAACATTCCAATGTTATATTAGGAAAAAGCCAGAGTAGTTGATACTTTTATATAAGCATATTCCATATATTTATCGTAAGAAAGTTTCCCAAAGCATATTCCAAAATACCCTTTGCTCCAAAAAAATCCAGAACCAAAGAAGTGTTTAATACATTAGTAGTTATTGTTTGAGTTCATTCACCGAACGTTTCATGTTGCATAATAATTGTAGCCTTTTATCCTAAGTGGGTACTTTTATAGCCTAACGAGAGTAGCTTAATGGATTAAGAGCTTGGCTAAATGAGGGCTTAAAACTAAGGACTTTTATTACATATATAAAATCATAACCATCACTTAGGGTTAAGTGTGCAACTTAACCCATTAAGCCCTAAATCTAATCATTAAGTCTGGAATAAGGAATAATCAGAACTACCCTCGGTGGTGATGTTGGTGGTCCACGGTGGTGACATGGTGGTCAAACCACCAAGAAAAGTTTAATGCTATAAAAAGGCTTTTAAAAAGAAACATCTCTTGACAACCTTAACCCTTACTCTAATTAAGAGGTTGCAACAACACATCCCACAGCCACCCTTGCACGGTGGCCTGTGGTGAGCCTGGGAGGAACACGGGCAGTGACGAGGTGGTGATCATTTTTAATACAACACACACGCACAACACAACAAAATCGGTGATCAAAGGGGCTGCATAAATCACAACACACATCTATCCTTGCACGGTGGTCTGTGGTGGCAGGAGTGGCACACACCGGTGATAATGGTGCAAGATGGTGTTCGGTGGTAGAAAGAGAAGGAAAAGAAGATGAAGAGGGAGATGAATACTTACAACAGAAGGATCGTATAAAATAGTCTCCACCGTCTTCCTCCTCTTCTTACTCCGGCAGTAAAATTCGGCAATATATCGTCCTCCTCTTTCTCGTCTCCCTTTCTTCCCGTCGCTCTCTTTCTATCTCTCTCGATCGGTGGTTCAATTACTTCGCAAGTATCACAATAGGGGAGGATTAGGGTTAAATGAAGGCGTTATATATAGGTATTAATTAGGACGAGTAGGCAGCAAGAAAAAAAAACCCATACATGCTCCCGTCAATGATTATGGGTTGTTTTCGTATTTTACAGTTTAGCCCCTATAGTTTTCCATAACGGCCATTTTGGTCTCAGAAATAAAACTCTTTGCATCCCAAGTTTTACACCGATGCTTTTAGCTCCTCACTAGGCGAACTTCCGTGCGTTGCGTATATATAAATATTTTGTTGTTATTAACTATAATAATTTTTATATTATGTTGACATAAAGTACGGAAATTTACTTGTTAGGGTAATGAACTTATAGGGAGTGTTTACATTTGGGTAACTTCTTTTTTTGTACTAATATAAGCAAAAAAAAACTTATTGGAGTTGTTCGCATATAGTCATTATGACCAGCTGTAGCAAATTATAACTTACGTGGTGTATACGTGGCAAACATAATTACATATGAGGATAATGAACTATTGGTTTTTGTAACATCCCGAAAATTTCAACAAATTTAAACATTTCAACATAACCCATTTACTAATAAAAGTGTTTACAAAATCATTGTTTCCAAAACATTATTTAAAATCAGAGTCCCCCAATATCCAATCAATAGTAAAACCAAGGATGTGCACGGTCACGCCTTCGCCTCGCCACGGTCCTCTAAAGAACCTGAAACCATAAACTAAAACTGTAAGCATGAACCTTAGTGAGTTCCCCCAAAGTACCAACACACAAATAGATGACATATACAAATAACAGCATGTCGGGTCCAAACAACCATCGGGTTGGAATACCCCCAGGCCCAGCCAACCATCAGGTTGGAATGCCAATAGACTATGGGTCCAGTCAACCATCGGGTTCGAATACCCCAGGCCCATCAACCATCGGGTTGGAATGCCAATACACTATGGGTCCAGTCAACCATAGGGTTGGAATACCCCGGGCCCATTAACCATCAGGTTAGAATGCCAATACACTATGGGTCCAGTCAACCATCGGGTTGGAATACCCCAAGCCCATCAACCACCTGGTTGGAATGTCAATCTACAAAGGGTCCTGTCATCCTTGAGATGGAATACCCTTGGGCCCATTCAACCATCGGGTTGGTATGCCCCCCACCCCACCTCACCCCACCCCGCGGCCTGTTGGCATACGCACAAAGCAGTAAAGCCTCAGCCATCGACTGAATATGTGCACATATAACAGATAATCATATAACAGTCTATAGCCAGTCAGATATATCTACAGATCACTAAGCATAGCATCATCCTATATACCAGGATACTGATATAATAAACCACTACAACAAAATAGCATACATAACATGATATCAAATCCAAAGGGCCGGCCTTGGTGCCTTCGACTCGCAAGTACAGTGAGGAAAACTCACCTCAATTCGGTGATAGCCAAATAACTGCTCGGACCGCTGAACCGGGTAACCTCGCGCCAACTAACAAAATACAATCGTAATCAATAATTACTCCGATAACCCAAAATCTGAGGCCCAATCCATAACCAACTTCCTAAAGGGTAAAAGACCATTTTGCCATTTTCTTACTTGTTCCATAACCAAGGTCCAGCCCAAATGCACAAAAGCCCAAAATGGAAACCCAAGGCCTAAATCAAATGCAAAAAAAACCCATTATGGCCCAACAAACCGATTAGGCCCCAAAACCATCATGGACCTACTTCCAAGAAAACCCTAATTCTATCCATGGACCAAAGTCCGAAGTTCAATGACCCAAACCTCAAAAAGCCCAAAACACAAACTGAGGACTACGTCCCGCGTACTAGAATGATACGCCCAACATACTCACCCTCGAAGCATAGAGCACAAGTCCCTGATGCACAAAATCAGCATTACGCTGAGTCCCTGATGCACAAAATCAGCATTACGCCGAGCTTACACTTGCGTACGCCCAATGTACTCCTCCAGGGTCCAAATATCCAAAATTAGCTCTAAATGGTTAAGAAAATGACTTCCAAACTTGGATATGACCCTAATGAGATGTCTTAACACGTAAAGTTGGTAACTTTACTCCTTTGCAAGGCTTAATGGGACTAAAACCTTAATACAATCCATAATAATCAACTGAACTCATACATGCACCATAATAACTCATCAAGATGACATTTTTATGAACAAGGGACCTCCCAAAGGCCAAGGTCCAACATTCTAAGCTCTAAGAGTAGCTCATACTCAAAAAGATGACTCTAAGGACCAAAAGAACCCCAAAATACTCCTTAAACTAGATCTAACACATAGAGTCATCAAGATAGAAACTTTATACCTCCAAAATGTAGATCAACATGCAACAAGCATGGATCTAAAAGCTTCAAGCAATCCCACACTTCTCTAAGAAGTTCCTTCTTCTTCTATGAACACCAAAAATCATGAAATACCACCAAAAGCTCAAAAACCACTCAAATGGGGGCTAGATTTTCGTTTCTAGGGTTTAGAGGGATGGAGGTTGAAGATAATAGGGTTTGGTGGTGAGTTAAGGAGCTTAAATATGGTCCAAGACCCTAAATTAGGGTTTGGGTCTTACTGGAGTATGCCCAACGTATTTCTGGTACGCCCAACATACTCCATATAGCACCCGTGATCACACTACTTAATACGCCCAACGTATACCATTGTATGCCCAGCGTACTGGCAATCTCACTAGTATGCCATGCGTACACTTGTGTATGACCCGCGTACTCGATTAAACCCTAAAATCACCCAACTTCTGAAGGCCATAACTTCTTCGCTATAAGTCCGTTTCCGACGATCCTTATATCTACGAAAAGGTAACGAGAAGCTCCACTCTTCTATCAACTCATACTTTCCATAAAACTTCCCAAACTAAAATCTAACTTCCATAAAATCCCGAACTGACACTTTATCGATATACCCATTGGCTTCAAAACTCAAACCGAACTCCCGAATCCTCTAAATTACATTGCCCACACCCGAATGGGTCCAAATCTCTTCTCCTCAAAGGTCCTAAGCCTGATGATACCCTGATCTTCGGTCACCACCCCGTATTAGGAAACGATTTGGAACATGGTGTTACAACTCTCCTCCACTTAAATTAGATTTCGTCCTCGCAATCACTCCTTACCACCCTCCTGGAAACTAATGCTTTGAACAAAACCTTCTAGTGCTGAACGAAACACTGAACCCATAACCGACGAACCAAACATTACTGCTATGAATCCGAAGCCCATAACTTGCATGATCTCCACGCAGGTTGACCCAATTACAGAGCCTTCAGCATGGCTGGATCGCCTCAGCCCAATATACCATCACATATAACATAACTTGTTGATAACAACATCTGATACATCAATATCATGATGACTCTTAATGCGAGCCATCTATTTAACCGCTGTAAAGAAGCACATATAACGTCAACATGATCTAAAACTTCCTAGCTATAAAACCGAACTTTTAGCGAGAACCATAGGGCTGGGGACTCTCAACCACAATCACCGAACCAACTCAAACAATCTGCCTCTCGAGATCGGGAACCTGTGAGATCTAAACTTCAAAACCCATATTCCAGAACTGATATTCATCCTTTCATCGAATCCACCCCTTGCCTTTGAGCATGATCACTATCAAACACGTGGAAAAAGAAATCAAACGCATCAATCGAGAATTTTCCACCAATTCCAAATCCATAACATGCACCAAAAGCCTTTAATAAACCATTGACTCCCTGACACGTCATTCGCAACCACTGCTCCTACGAGCAAAGACGATCAATCAAAGAATTTTCACATTTGCTTCCAATCCTTATCAACTCAGGTGTACCCCCACTTGGCAAATCACTCGAGACATTCACCAAAAACTTTATGATTCGAGACTTCATAACCGACACCCAATCTTGATAATCGAACCCCTAATAACAACTTGCGAACAAACGGGATTTATAATGCAAACATTCCATAGAGACTTTTTGATACCTGACGGATACTCCCAACAACCCTTAACTGTTCCCTCTATCCGAATCAGCTGATTTGTGAGTCTCCCAGCTGAAGGGTTTTGAGCATTCTAACACCCCTATGGTGTACATACAACCCTAAATACCTTGGATCTATGTTTTCTCTATTATACATGCAAACTTGAACTTTCCAAGGTATTACCCTAACTAGCATACAATCATTGATACTTGGGTAATATAAACAAGTTAGAAGTCATACCTTTTTCATGTAGCTTGATTCCATGGAGCTTAAAAGCCTAGTGCCTCAAGTGTGACACCTCAAATGGTTCACACAACATCACCAACATCTTGGAATAACTTGAGAGAAAAGGTTCTTATGCTCAAATCGGCTAGCCCTCATGTGTACACACACTAGTGCCAATTTCTTAAGCCATGTGGTCCTTATATATTGTGGCTATTAGGGTTACACCATGTAACTAATGTCTTTCCATATTCTCCATGCTCCATGGGTTAAAACCTCCATGGAGTATCCATGGGTTACTCCATGG